ATTATAGTGATTTACATGAACTACTTACCATTTATGCCTAATTACCTCACAGCACAATAACAATTATGCATACATTAAATGTGTCAGATTAACCTGGCTGTATGTTTTATTTGATAACAAAAGTGTCCATAAATGTTTGTTCTTCACAGTTTGTTGCTCATATGGCATAGTCATCTGCTCATAACTTCTTCAAATGTTTACTAGAGAAAACATTGTTATGTAGATAGGTAAAGGCAGCCTAATATTTTGCAATGAACTTTTCTAATTAATTATAAATCCAGCATTTTGTGAAGGAGATATATTTTGTTTCAATAGCTTAAGCTTATAAAAAGTTTCTTAGGACTATCATGGGGAAAAAATAAGTCCACCATAATGAATGTTTAAACATCTACATTAAAACCAAAATCAAAGTTTGTAAAATCATAAATCTTACCGGAATTAAGAATACTACAAATAAAGTTCTTCTATTACTAGAAAATCTAATAGCCACACCCCAATCTGGGCAACTCAGGAGGCTGAGATGGGAAGATAGCCTTTTGAAGCAGCTTCAGCAACTTAGAAAGATCCTGCCTCAAAATAAAAAAATGTAAAAAGGGATGGGGATGTAGTACCTCTGGGTTCAATCACTACAAGGGGTAAAAGGAAAGGAATGAAGGAAGAGAGGGAGGGAGGAAGAAAACCTAATAGCCCAAATTTATCTTCTGAATAACTGGAAAATACTTGTTTAATTTCAAAAGAAATGGTCTGTGTCATGTTTACAATCATCAAAAATTAAAGTTTTATATATGTGGTTTTCTCAAATTATATTGGATATTTAGGTCTTTTTCAATGTTTTAAAGATTTGGGGTGCTTCATAAACTACAGGACAAACACTATCACAAAGATGCTGCTATAACTGCTAAACATTTATTTATATATGCACTAGGATTTAACAAATGTGACCTTTCATTAATAAAACTTGAAACTCTAGCTGACATATCAAATCTTCCATTTATATAAGCTTAAACTACACAATAAAACCAGAGTTATTGGGGCTGGGGTTGTGGCTCAGTGGTGGAGCGCTCGCCTCGCACGTGTGAGACCCTAGGTTGGATCCTCAGCACCACATAAAAATAAATAAACAAAATAAAGATATTGTGCCCATGTATAACTAAAAAAATATTTTAAAAAAATAATTTAAAAAAAGAGTTACTGACTAGACTGGCCCATTATACACAAGTCAGAAGTCAAAAGTAGAAAGAAAAAAAAAAAGAAATCAAAGGTAGAAGTATAGGAGAATATACCTAAAAGAGCTAATCAATTTAAAGGAAAAAAAATTATCATTGTTGAATTGATAAGGTAATGACTATAGTCAACTTCCTATTACTTTAAGGAAATACTTGAGATCAATAAACTCAAAAAGAGGAAATGTTTACTTTGGCTCACAGTTTGTAAGATTTCAGTCCTTGACTGATTGACCCCATTGCTTTGGGTCTGTGGTGGCAGAGTACCTCATGGCAGGAGTATAACTCTGAGGGAGTCTAGTTATACCATGGCAACAAAGCAAAAGAGAAAAAAAGAAGAGGCTAGGATATCCCCCTTTTAGGGGACAAGGCTTTAACACATGGGCCTCTGGGGGACATTCTAGATTCAAACTATATTAATGATCAAAGGTTACTTGGATGGAAGTTCACTAACCAATATAAAATAAGCCCTAGGGATGCTACAGAGTAGGAAAGGAGAATAAAAGAAATGTACTTCCAGGGGCCAGGGTTGTAGCTCAGTGATAGAGGATCTGTCTAGCATGTGTGAGGCAATGGATTCTATCCTCAGCACCAGGTAAAAACAAATAAACAAAATAAAGGTATTATATCCATCTACAATTTAAAAATAAAAAAAGAATTAAAAGAAATGTATTTCCAAAACGGACAAGAAATAGAACATGATACAGAATTCTTAAAAGCAACTGAATTCTCATATACCAAAAAATTTCAGGTAAGTAAAACATGTTTTTCCTGGGCTATGCCATTATTACCAAGTTTTTATTTTATTTGGAAGACTCCCTGTATTCCATATGATACGTAAAACATGAGCAATCTATGTTAAGTTCTTTTCTTACTTATAAACAAACTTATGAAAGTATAAGAAAACAAAGGTTCATCATCAAAAAAGATAATTTCAAATGGTGCTGGGAAAACTGGAAATCCATATGCAACAAAATGAAACTGAATCCCTTTCTCTCGCCATGCACAAAAGTTAATTCAAAATGGATCAAGGAGCTTGATATCAAATCAGAGACACGCCGTCTGATAGAAGAAAAAGTTGGCTACGATCTACAGTCGGTGGGGTCGGGCTCCAAATTCCTCAATAGGACACCCATAGCACAAAAGTTAATAACTAGAATCAACAAATGGGACTTACTCAAACTAAAAAGTTTTTTCTCAGCAAAAGATACAATAAGAGAGGTAAATAGAGAGCCTACATCCTGGGAACAAATCTTTACTCCTCACACTTCAGATAGAGCCCTAATATCCAGAGTATACAAAGAACTCAAAAAATTAGACAATAAGAGAACAAATAACCCAATCAACAAATGGGCCAAGGACCTGAACAGACACTTCTCAGAGGAGGACATACAATCAATCAACAAGTACATGAAAAAATGCTCACCATCTCTAGCAGTCAGAGAAATGCAAATCAAAACCACCCTAAGATACCATCTCACTCCAGTAAGATTGGCAGCCATTATGAAGTCAAACAACAACAAGTGCTGGCGAGGATGTGGGGAAAAGGGTACACTTGTACATTGCTGGTGGGACTGCAAATTGGTGCAGCCAATTTGGAAAGCAGTATGGAGATTTCTTGGAAAGCTGGGAATGGAGCCACCATTTGACCCAGCTATTCCCCTTCTCGGTCTATTCCCTAAAGACCTAAAAAGAGCATGCTACAGGGACACTGCTACATTCATGTTCATAGCAGCACAATTCACAATAGCTAGACTGTGGAACCAACCTAGATGCCCTTCAATGGATGAATGGATTAAAAAATGTGGCATTTATACACAATGGAGTATTACTCTGCATTAAAAAATGACAAAATCATAGAATTTATAGGGAAATGGATGGCATTAGAGCAGATTATGCTAAGTGAAGCTAGCCAATCCCTAAAAAACAAATGCCAAATGTCTTCTTTGATATAAGGAGAGTAACTAAGAACAGAGTAGGGTCGAAGAGCATGAGAAGAAGATTAACATTAAACAGGGATGAGAGGTGGGAGGGAAAGGGAGAGAGAAGGGAAAATGCATGGAAATGGAAGGAGACCCTCAGAGTTATACAAAAGTACATACAAGAGGAAGTGAGGGGAAGGGGAAAAATAATATAAAGGGGACAAAGGAATGTCAGTAGAGGGGGCAGAGAGAGAAGAGGGGAGGGGAGGGGGGATAGTAGAGGATAGGAAAGGCAGCAGAATACAACAGACACTAGTATGGCAATATGTAAATCAATGGATGTGTAACTGATGTGATTCTGCAATCTGTATATGGGGTAAAAATGGGAGCTCATAACCCACTTGAATCAAATTGTGAAATATGATATATCAAGAACTATGTAATGTTTTGAACAGCCAACAATAAAAAATTTTTTAAAAAAAGATAATTTATCATTATATCCTATAATCATTGTGCTGGACTGGTCAATCATGGTGTTTGCCACATTCTCAGTCTACTCCTGAGGGAAACTTCCAAGCTCATAGGAAAAGCCCTGCATGGTATGTAAGAAAGGTCAAATCTTTGTGTTTTTTTCCCCAGCAGTATTGGAGATTGAACCCAGAGTTGCTCTACCACACTACAACCTGAGCTCTTTTTATTTGTTATTTTGAGTCAGAATCTCACTAAATTGTCAACACTGGCCTCAAACTTGCAATTCCCCTGGCTCAGTCTCCTGAGGAGCTAAAATTACAGGTGTAGGCCACTGTGCCCTGCCAGGAAAGACCTAAAAAAAAAATGGCAAAAGCAGCTCTAAAACCAAAGTAGAACTGAACAGAATGATCAAGGCAGAAAGTTTTTAAGCTGGGTTAGTAATGCTATGGTATTTCCCTCATGCCAAGCGTGGGAGGTTCACAAATGAAATACCCGAAGAGATTAGGATTGAGTACAAAATGAGGTGGGCATCCCCCCTCCCCAGATGAATGTTTGCTTAGGTGAGGAAATCTACAGACAGCTACCAAAGCACAGTGTGGAAGAGTTCATGAAAGAACTTGACATGTGTCTTCAGGAATATGTACAGGACAAGGACAACCTGGTACCTGCTTCTTGCCTGCAGTCCAAAGGCAGAAGGGTAAATAAAGCTCTCTATGCAATAGGGGTTGGAGAAACAAGATGATATGCTTCTTGTGACCTAAGTGGACACCATTAAAGGTGATCCAGTGAGAGCTATCCTAACAAGACCCTACCCAAGAAGGTTAAGTACAAGGGGAAAAGGTCCCAGTAGAATACAAAGGTTTGAGGTGTTTCCCCAGAGCCCTAAGAGCTCAAAGAATACAGCAGTATGGAGGTAATCCAGGACCAATGAGCCCTTTCAAAAAGAGCTAGCAAGTCAGCATCTATCAACCAAAAGCCAACAGCTGATGGGCAACTAAGATGGTTATTTTCCTCTAATCTTTCATCCCTCTCTTTCTGACTCTAGAGAAAGGAGGAGGAAAGGGGAAAAAACAAATCACTCCCCCTTCTCCATTGCTGATCCCAGGTGAGGCCTGAACTAAAGAAAAGGGAAAGTTTGGAATTGTATAGAAGTTTTCCTTTAGATTGGAATGCACTTTTTAACAATCTAATTAGAAAGCTGTTTAAATCCCTAAAGGCAAAAAGACAGCTACAGGACATCAAGAGGTCAGGGATCTAATAGAGTTTGTTTAAAGGATCTGTAGGAAATTCTCAAGCTGTTTCATTATGCCTCATTGCACTGAATCCATTTTATAAAATGGTTACACTTGAAACTGTTCCATCTTTAATGTTACATAAACCTCACCTTTGAAAAAAGACCTTCTGCCTCTATGCTGTATCCTCTAAGGTCCTCATGTAATTTCTGCAAACATTGGATCACTCTTCTTTGATGTTCATCATCCTTTAGCTCATGAGCTTTGATCAGAAAGTCATAGTGATCCAGAGGTCCATGACAAACAGCCAAAGCTTTCAAACAGGCCTTGGAAGCAGCAGCAGATGGGGTCACACTCTCAGGCAGCTGTACCATATACGCTATAAACAAAAACATATGTAAAATTTTAGACTTTCTTAAATGAGGATATTTCATAGAGCGCCCTCTCGCTCTCTCTCTCTCTCTCCATATATATATATATATATATATATATATATATATAAAACTTTTAAGTTGTTAAACTATATCTAAAGGCAGGCACAGTGTACATAATCCCAACTTTTCAGGAGGCTGAGGCAGAAGAATCACAAGTTCAAGGCCAGCCTCAACAATTTAGCAAGGCCTGTCTCAATGAAAAATAAAAAGGGCTGGGGATATAGCTCAGTGGTAAAGCACCCCCAGGTTCAATCCTCAATACCAAAAAAATTCTGGATCTATTTGAGCAGTTTTTATAATTGCCATTTTGATTAAAATAATACAAAATAAATTTTAAAAAATAAGTACTTACAATTGCTCATTTTTGAAAAAAAAAATACATTCAAAAACCATAAACTATACTTGTAACTACTTTTCTAGAAAACCTAATCTGCTATAGGGCCTCTACTTTGCCTGTGTGCTATTAAACCAGCCACCTAAATTCCAGAGCTCTTCCCTAGAAGCAGGTGGTACTCTTTTTGAGCTAGGTCTAGTTACTTCTGGTGCTTAAGCACCACAAAGAAACTTGGAGATGAATCTCAAAGGGTTTTCTACAGCCCCATTATTCTCTGTTCAAAACAACACAACACTTAGATGTTATATTGATTTCAGCCCTTATGAGATTTCTTCCCTTTTCCATAACCTTTACAGAAGGAAACAGAAGTTACACACAAGACAGGCTTCAAAGCAGGGTGGTAGTCTGATCCTTTCTTTAATCTTCTCCTGGGTAAGAAAACAACCAGCTGAGGTCAAATTCAATCATAATTTCATTCCTTATCTGGGGCAGGTTTAGTGGCTAAGGTAGCTCCCTCTCTATTTTTAATTAATTCATTTATTTAGTTGGTGCTGGAGATGAACCAAGGGCCTCTCACACATGTTAAGACTGCACACTTGGGCTGGGGATGTGGCTCAAGCGGTAGCGCGCTCGCCTCGCATGCGTGCGGCCCAGGTTCAATCCTCAGCACCACATACAAACACAAACAAAGATGTTGTGTCTGCCAATAACTAAAAAATAAACATTAAAAAATTCTCTCTCTCTCTCTCTCTCTCTCTCTCTCTCTCTCTCTCTTAAAAAAAAAAAAGACTGCACACTTGTACCACTCAGCTATGCTTCCAGCACCAAGCTGTGTAGACACATAGAAGGAAAACAGGCAGACATATTACTGGGAATTGAACCCAGAGGTTCTTTACCACTTAAAAACTCCACCTGAAGTGGTGAAGGAGTTGAACACCTAACTGGCAAAGAGTATATAGAAGGTGGTCCCCAGTTCTTCTGGTAAACATCAAACAGTAATAAAATTGGGGGCAGCACTGTCTCTTTTGTTGTTCTCTGCTTGGAGACAGTCCACTCTCTCCCTTGAGAGTGCTTTTTGCTTAAGCCTCACTTTTATTTTTACCTCACTTTCATTTCTAATAAAGTTCTCTTGCATGACTTTTGGTGTCTGACTTTAAATCTTCTTTCATCAGAACATAAAAACCAAGGTTTGGAGTTTTAGCTCCCTGCTTTCCTGTGACATAAGGACCTTAATTGGCCAAACATCTATAATCCCAGCAACTAGGGAGATTGAGTCAGGAGGATTGCAAGTTCAAAGCCAACCTCAGCAATTTATAGGAACCTTGAGGAATTTAGCAAAGACCCTGTCTCAAAATAAAAAGACTGGGGATGTAGCTCAGTCGTAAAGCACCCCTGGGTTCAATCCCCAGTAACTCCCCCAAAAAAGGAAAATTCAGAAGAGAGGTACACAAAGTCCCACCCACTTCACATCTCCCTCATGTGTATACCCACACCACTACCATTTCCCAAGAGCCCCTAAGGCCACTCTCCCACCTTTTAAGATCACATTAAGTACAAACTTGAATCAAAGTGTGGAATATGATATGTCAAGAAATTTGTAATGTTTTGAACAACCAACAATAAAAAATTAAAAAAAAAAAGTACAAACACTGCAGAAAAGGGTTAACACAGCAGGCCTGAGACTGCTGTCCAAAGACCTATTCACAATATTGGCCCTTGGATCTTACTTAAATTCCAAGAAAGTTCTCACTGTTCCCAGAAATGGCAAGAGTGATTCACCATGCCTAAATTTTTATAGTTTATGCTGAACACCTAGTTTCCTTCTATCCTTATGGAATTTTGGCACATGCTAAGCAGAGGTACCTATGTGATCACGCCCCAATAAAAAAACAATATCTGTAATGACCTTCCCTTGAATATAACATTTCTTTTCTGCTGACACCATTAGTTGTTGGAGGTGGTAAGCATGTTCCATGTAATTCAACTGGAAGAGGATTTTTAGAAGCTTGTTGCCTGACATCTTTCAGCCTTTCCTCCGTGTACCTTTACCCTTAGCTCACTGTGCTTCCTATGCTGTTGCTATAATAAATAAGTTATAGCCATGAGGCATGACTTCATCTTGTGAGTCCTCCTAGAGAACCATCAAACCTGGCAGTGATCCCGTGACACAGAGTATTTTCATTCTGGAGTTCAAGGAATCCATAAAACAGGCTCAACTTAAATTCAAGATTATTCTCTTTCTGCTTTCCAAAATGCACTTATGATACAAGAAGTGACTCAGTACCTACCACATATAATGGAGAATATCAAAATTTTTTTTTTAAATAAGGGTAGAATGACAAAACTTTGGAACAATAATATATTAAGATTCTGGCTGAACTGGACATGCTGGCACACACCTGTTATCTCAGCAGCTTGGGGGGCTGAGGCAGAAAGAAGGATCACAAGTTCAAAGCCAGACTCAGTAATTTAGAGAGGCCCTGAGCAACTTAGTGAAACCCTGTCTCAAAATAAAAAATAAAAAAACTGGCTGGGGATGTGGCTCGGTGGTTAAGTGCCCAGTTTCAATCCCTGGTACCAAAAAAAAAAAAAAAAAAAAGACTCTGGCTGGCTGGACATGGTGGCACACACCTCTAATTCTAGCTCCTTAGAAGGCTGAGGCACGAAGATACAAGCTCAGACCAACCTGCGCAATTTAGTGACATGCTATCTCAAAATAAAAACTTAAACAGTGAGGGATATAGCTCAATGGTAGAACAACCCTGGGTTCAATTCCCAGCACCATGAAAGAAAGAAAAAAGAATCTTTCTATATATGATGCACACACATATATTTATACATATTTTGGGGGTAGGGGCTGGGCATGGTGGCACACAGCTGTCATCCCAGCTGCTAAGGAGGCTGAGGCAGGAGAATTACAAGTTTGAGGCCAGCCTGGACAATTTAGCAAGACCCTGTTTCAAGATAAAAATGTTTTTAAAGGGTTAGGGATATAGCTCTGTGGTAGAGCACTTGCCTAGCAAGTGTGAAGACATGGGCATCCCTACTAAAACATACACACACACACACACACACAAGTATTTTTAGGGGCTGCAAGTATTGCTCAGTGGTAGAGCATGTGCTTGTAACAAGGACTTAGACTCTTCACTTTTGCCTGCAAATGTTTGATGGGTGGCTAAAAGCATAATTAAAGACTTGCCATCTCTGCCTCCATTTTGTATCCATCTTCTTTGCTCCTGGTCACCTTGAATTCCAGAAACAAATTCTGATCCAATAAATATCTTGTGATTAATCAAAGCTACCCCTCAACCCAGGCAACTTTGTTGGGACAAGGCCCTGCAAGACCAATCCTGTGATAATCATGGACAGACCTCTTGCCTTGGCAACTGTGAAAAGCCTCCAGCTGTGCAAACCCCCTAACCCTCAAATTCATTCCCCTTTCTATAAAACCTCAAAATCATTGTCAGTCCCTTGAAGACATGGGTCTCCTTGTCCTTCAGACGTAGTTACACTATTTAAAGTTCCTTTCATGCTTTTCTACTATTATCATTTCTGTTTGGTTTCTGGGGCATGTGGTCAGACAGAATTTATTGGATCCCCAGAGTCAGCCCTCTGGCCTAGGACTCTGGTAACATGTTTAGCATGTGTAATGCCCTGGGTTTGAGGAAGTAGTTTAGGGATGTCAAAATGGCAGAGGCAGATACAACAAAAATCAATAAACAGATTCAATTCAATCCCCACCAATGAGGGCTGGGGTTGTAGCTCAGTGGTAAAGCACTTGCCTAGCATGGGTGACACTGGGTTCAATTCTCAGCAACACATAAAAATAAATAAATAAAATAAAGATATTCTGTCCACCTACAACTACAAAATATTTTTTAAAAAAAGACATTCTTTGCAAAACTAGAAAAACAGTCTTAAAAATTCATTTGTAAGAATAAAAGACCCAGAATAGCCAAAGCAATTCTAAGCCAAAAAAGCAATGCTGGAGGCATCACAATATCTGACTTCAAAGTTATACTGTAGAGCTATAGCAACAAAAACTGCATGGTACTGGCATAAAAGCAGACATATAGACCAATGGAACAGAAAAGACACAGAGACAAAGCTCCACAGATAAAATCATCTGATCCTTCACAAAGTACCAAAAACGTAACCAATGGGAACAAATAGGGCGAGATACTCAGTAAAGTCTGTGGGGAGGAGGAGGAGGCACAGCTCAGCATATAAGACAAAACTTGCCCAGATATCAGGGCCTTGAGCCACTTTCTCTCACTTGGCTCATTCTGCTCTACTTTACCAAGTATACCTTCATCAATAAATCTATGCTCTTCCTATAACTTGTATATGTCTTACTCAATTTACTGTTAGGGACACCAAAAACCAGGACCCCAACTGGGCACCCAACTGATATCATCTTCAATCTCAAGCACCAGAAAAATAAAATGATAAAATACCCATTTTTAAATGTCAGACAAAAAACCACTAGGTTAAGTTATATTAAATGACATATATTCTATTATTTACCTTTTTATTCTGTTTCTATTGTAGAATATATGCTCTTAGATGTAAGGAATTTTTGTCTATAGTGTTTTCTGCAATAAGTGGCAC